ATTCCCACCCCTTGGTGTATACACCCTGAATAATCCTGGAGCGGGGTGGGACTGTGAATAACAGGGGATGGTACTCTTGTGATTAGGTTATGTTATAGGGCAAAGATAAAGCATTTTTGCAGATGTGATTAAGGTCACAAATCAGTTGAGTCTCAGTTCATCAAATGGGAGATTATCCTATGTTGGCCTAACTTAACCAGTTAATGTCTTGGAAGAGGGACTTGGCCCTCCTGCTGGCCTTGAAGAATCCAGCTGCTGTGTTGTGAGTCACGTGGTGAAAAACTGTGGGAGGCCTCTGAATGTTAAGATTGCCCCTCCAGCTGACAACCAGCAAGAAAATGGGACCTTGGTCCTACAACTGCAAGGAACTGAATCCTGCCAACAACCAGTGATCTTGGAAGAGCACCTTGAGTTCCAGCAAGAACACTGCCCAGCCAATATCTTTTTTTTTTTTTTTTTTTTTTTTTTAGCCAACATCTTAATTGCAACTGGTGAGACCCTGCACAGAGGGCCCACCTAGGCTGTGCCAGAAGTCTTGACCCACAGAAGCTGTGACAAGATAGATAAATGTGGTTGTAAGCTGCTAAGTTTGTCTTGCTACACATAAAATAGAAAACCAGTACAGTGTTCAAGCCAGGCTAGAAACAACAATGAGGAAACGAGGAGGAAGAAGAATTGAAATAGAAAGGAAAAAGGCCAGCGAGCTTCTCAGGAAGGCAGCGTGGGTGCAGTGGAAAGAGAGTTGTATCAGAGGTCAGAAGCCCCAGAGTCTGGGTGCGGCGCTGCCTCGGGCCCTCCATGAAGCTACAGGAAGGCCAACATCCCTGGGCCCCAGTCACCCTACTAATAATGTATGGATGCAGAACTAGATATCTACTCATTTAGATACGACTTACAGAGCGCTCATCGTGTGCCAGGCAGCGTGCACTGTCCACGTCCTGCTTCCAGGGGCACACACTGCATGTCATCCTCACCCAGCTGTGAGACCTGGTGCCTGGGAGCTCTGGCTGCAGCTGTGGAGAGGCAGAGGGAAGGCCACAGCTGCCACAGGCCAGAAAGCTTGAACGAGGCATGAACCTCTCTAGGAGCAAGGTTTCCGGTTTCCATGGTGACTGTCTGGTAGCAGACACAACTGCCCTTCTCTCCCACCTTGTAGCACTCGAGGTCCTGGGCAGTGGGACTTCGTGCAAAGAGCAGTGGCCAACTGATGTGTATCCAGGATGCCTAGTTTAACCTCAAAGGAAAAAAAAACCCACCAGAAAAATAGGATGGTTTCCTGATAGATCACTTTATGAGTGGTGTTAAGAAAGCTAAACCACATAAAGAATTGAGATAATTAATTAATTCTAATAAGAAAAATTCCCCAAAAATTACATAACAATTAATGCATAAATTCACCTTTTTTGTTTAAACACACTTTATTTCAAAATTATAGCTATTTTCTACTTCATTTTATCAGGGAGACATAGGGTACTGGTGAAGAAAACTGGATTATCTGCAGTCATTTAGAAAAACGTGATACTTTCCATGCAAAACATGAAAACTCAGTTTTGAATTCTGGAGTTTATTAAAATAATGCACTTTGCATTGCTTAGAGAGCAACAGCTCAGGTTTCTATTCTGTTTGTCCTGTTACCGTCTCATTTTATTTCAAAATCAAGGAAGAAATGAGGAGAAGAATTGAGAACAAAAATTTAATTAACTTTACTTAATTTTACAGTAAACTAATTTCACTGTTGGCAGTTATCTAGAGTAAGGGCGACTAGATCTCTCTCCCATGTCACGGCCTCTAGGACCTCCAAGCACAGGCCACCTTCCACAGAATTCTCCAGCAAGTCTGATTCCTCAGGACCATCATGAGAGAAGAGAGAAGTGTAGGCAGCTGTGAGCGTCTCAGAGACAAGATCGTGGTGGGCTCAGAAAGGGGAAGAGTTGGACGTGATGGCAGACAGACCAGCCAGGGCATAAAAGCCATGTGAGTGAGGAAGCAGCAGCTAAGGGACTCTGGTTTCAAAGTCTCAGGTCTGACATTTTCCCCCCAAAACCCCTCCCCCTCCAAGTTGCAAGACTAAGCACAGCTCCAACTCCTAGTCTACAGCAGACACATCTCAGGGACGCAAACATTTTGTTTTCCTGCACACGGCCTTTTTCAGTGCTTCCCAGAACTGTGCCTACATTGCCACTGGAAGGCACTGAGGGAGGAAACTCTTCTGTAGCAGCTGTTAACCTGAGCAAATTAATTCTTCTCTTAATGCACTGTATGAGTGGAGAAATTCAGAAATTGAGCAAATTAAGCACATTGTTGATAAGCATGTGTAACAGGAACAACAATTACCAGTACACATACATTCATCATCTCCCCAACTTCTTTTCCCACCACCTCATGATGGGGTGGAGTTCTTGCTCACTGGGTCAGTACCTTCTCTTGGGTACCAAAACTCAGGTATCTGGAGGGAGGTGCCAAACTACACCCTCCATGGCCTGCATGCAGCAAGGATCACAGTCTTTGAGGAAGAGCATAAGTACCAGCAGCATGGCTGGGGGGGAAAGTGAATGGCAGTGAGGGGACGTAGGGACTGACAGAGCAGGAGCTGTGTTCCGCTGCTTCCATAAATATGAAAATATGGGAAGAGAAGTAAGGACAGCAGACAAGATTTGGGAGACCCTCTGGGAAGCAAGGCTTAATTCCCCGTTCCTTGAGAGGGAGCTGGACTTAGAGACTTATTCTAATCAAGAATGTCTGGAAAGGGAACCAGAGTAACCAGACAGTGAGTGGAGAAACCTGGCAGATAACCACCTTAACCGAGCAAAACAGGTTAGCATGACCAAAGGCAGGTCATGATGACATCACGCACCCTGACGTGACGTGGTGTGAGAAAGGTACTTCACATCTCTTGCACTCTTCCCCAAGGGCCCACAACCCCAGCCTGCCTGTGGGAAAAACAGACAAAGCTAGATTAATGCCTGGACAGTCATCATCCAAGCTGTCAAGGTCATGGAAAACAAAGAAGGATGGAGAAACATCACAAATCAGAGGAGACTAAAACTACCTGACGACTAAATGCAATGTGATATCCTGGATTCGATCCAGGAATAGAAGAGTATGTGTGGGGAAACTGGTTAAATTTGAATACAGTCTGTAGTTTTGTTACTAGTTAATGCATAAATGCTAGTTTCTTAGTTGTAGCAAATATACCAGGTTATGTGAGGCATTAGCATCAGGAAAGCTGAGAGAGGGGATTATGGGAACTCTGTACTCTGTTTGCAACTTTTCTATAAAACAAAATAAGACAAAAAATTAAAACTTTATTTTTGAAAAGTTATATAAAACTCAGTTGAATAAAGCTGTTTGCATGAAAATTACACTTTTAGCAGTTTGAGAATTGTGCTTTTCCAGAGGAGACTTAGGAGACCGAGGTTTTCCCCCAACACTGAAAGATCATGCTCAGAAAAGAGCCAAGCAACAGAGTGGGCAGACAGGGCTTTCTGAATATCTGCTCATCCAAAGCAAAGCGCCCGCAGGTTCATGCTGGTTCCAGCTCTCAATGGAACAAAAGGTCATGACTAGCTCCTTATAAGGGGAATTTAAATAGGGGAACTTGTGGCCAGTCATAGAAAGGTAATGCGCTTCAAGCACAAATTTGGGTTTGCTTCCCAACTCAGCCAGTTAGTAGCTGTGTCCTTAGACCAGTCGATTACCCTCTCAGAGCTCCTGGTTCCTCTTTATAAAAATTACGGTAATACTGTTTACCTCACTGGGCTACTGTGAGGATAAAAGGACGTATGAAATTACCTAGCCTGGTGCCTAGAAATTAATGTTAGTGTTCTTTCCTTCCTTGGGGATTTCTCTCCATAATCACTCCTGTCAATAAAGTAGGAGAGCATGTGAGGTCTGCGGTCATCCGCAGTCTAGAAATACACGAACTGCGCTGCTGCTTCTAAAGGAAGGTGATCAGCTCTGTAAAATTCCAGAATTTCTAAAGGAAAGCACGAGCAAAGATAGGAGACTGATTACCACAGGCCTTTAAAAACACAGAGAAGTCAAAGATACAGAGGGATAGGTAGGCGTTAGAGAGATTTTCTGAGTAATATCAATGTATTTAATTATTTCTTCTCTTGAGATACCTGAATTCAGATCATTATATAGTCATTCTCCCAACTATGAAAGCAGCAAAATTGAGATAAATAATTTTCCTGTATTTAAAATAGGTAAGAAAAATCATCAAACAAATCAAGTATGTACCTGTGTTTAGGCACCTCATTTGCAAGCAAGCTGCACACATATCGAGCCATCACCCAGGACCTCACGCTCCTTCTACTTACTCAGAGTTATAGTCATACCTTTTCCCAGACCTATACACACACCCCACAGCCATAATCCGGGGAACAATCTAGCTGTTCTGACATGAAGTTACCACTGGCGCTCCCCCAGCAGACTGACCTGACACCCACCTCACCCACGTGGGGAGGATGGCCTGCAGTCTGTGCCCCTCCTCCCGCTGTTGTCCTTACCCTCCAGCCCCTCCCTGACCTCCTTTAACTCCTGTCTCTTATTTGTTGTTAATTTCCATGCCAGGCAAATTTTCATACATTCATGGAGCTTCTTTTCACCTTTTTCTCCCTCAAGGAATAAAACTGGCCATGGGCCAGTTATCCAAGTCCTTAGAGGTCTGTCAAACCACCACTCTCCTCTTCTACTCCCACCCCCAGGAAGAATGGGAGGCAGGGTATACAAAATTTGAAAGAAAGTCCCAACCTCTCCAGCCCTCCCTGAGAAGCAGTGGGCTAGGCTAGAGGGTCCATCCCAGCTTTAACTTATAAAAAAAGAACATTATCAGGAAACTTATTTTAAACACCTTCAGTAAGCTTCAGTTTTACCGGAAGACCCTGGCATCTGAGGCTATCTTAAAAGTTACATTCGATTCATGCTTTAAAAGACTACTGTCTTCTTCCTCTTAATCCCTTCTTTCTTTTGTCAGTGTTTTTGTTTGTCTGTTTTTTTTTTCCTTTTTTGACAGCTGAAACAACTGAAAATGGCTCATCAGCAGAAAGCTGGTAACAATGATCAGGGAAACCTAGTCACATTTGTTTAAGTAAAATTTAGGTGATGTGAAGAAAAAATTACTCAAAACCTTCCACCCAAAGTTAATTGCCATTTTTAAATATTCTTTGCATATATTTTTTTACAAAAAATTTGCATCATACTGCATACACGTGTTTTTATTTTTATTTCACTTAGTAGTATATTATAACTATTTTCTCAGGTCATATAAAATGTTCTTTGACTAGACGATGGTAAATAACTACATACTACTTCATCATAAAGATATACAATATTGCACATCTTTATGGTATAGCATAAGTTATTTGAGGAAGGCAATAGAAACACAAAACCAGTGTCTGAAACAATGGAGATGTTAATTTTTCGTGAACAGTCCTGGGCTGAAGGTGTAAGCAGTTCAGAGTTGGTGCAGCAGAAACTCAACAGCCAACTCTAGGATGAGTAACTGTCACCTCATCTGCATGGTCCAAGATGGTCAATCATTACATTGACATTCCAGCCCATAGGAAGAGGAAGAGGAGAAAGGAATGGAAGGCATATACCTGTTCTATACGTGCCACCTAGAAATTATACACATGACTTCTGCTCATACTATATTCACAGAAATTGATCACTTGATAACACCTATTTATGAGAAAGCTATAAAACGTAATAAGCTGCCAAAATTCTGGGTGGCTAAAAATTCTATAACTATGTAAGAGAGGGGCAAGAGAACATATACTGGGGACCCATGAGGGTTTCTGCTACTCATTCAAAGTTCTTATGTCACGGTGTACATTTAATCACTCTCTTAATCTTCAGAATCTGACATGAGGAATACCTCCAGGTTTTGTAGCACAAAATATTGGTTTGGGTAATCTTTACTGAATATTGTAGTCAAGATTCTGATGGCTGAAATGGGGAAAATCAAGTAATTTGTAAAATCGGGAGATTTCTCAGGGTTTTTTCTTTTTTAATAAAGAGAATGTTATTTTAATAAGATTATTTATTTTGAGATGTGTAAATATTACATATCCTATAAGTACCAAAAAACTACATAAATTATCATTCCCCAATTTCCATTTCAGAACATCAATATTCTGCCTTCAGATTTCTGTTCCTCTGTAGCCATAGTCCTGCTGTTTTAATTAAACAAACAAACAAGCCAGCAATCTCCTGGAGAATGATGCAGTGCCCATAAAATTCAGTGCATAAATTCGTGCAGAGATGACACAAATTCACCAAAAGTCAGATGTCCCCACCACCAGTCCAATGACTCCTCTTGACTTTCCACTGAATTCCGTATGATATGATAGGGCACAATCTTGGGTAAAGTCGCATTCAGATTGTGCTAATTTCACTATTTGGCACTTGCTTTTGACCTTAGACTAGCTCCCTGGATTTTAAGATCCTTGAAACCATCCTGGACTGGGCTTCTTTAATACTAGTGACTTCCCTCCACTCATCAACTCTGGCCCTTCCATTCTTTCCAGTACAAATCCCAAAATTCAGCCCGAGAGTTTCCCGGTAGTAAAAGGTCAGTTACTGTCACTCAGAAAGCTGAGGACATTTTTTCTGTACATCTGCCACAATGTACACCTAGTTCTTTTGTTGTTTCTCTTTCCTCTCTTCTCTGACACTTTCCTTTTCTCCTTTGTTCTTTGCACCTCTTGCTACGCTTTAAGCCAGTGTAGCGGTTCCCAATGACCATTTATCTATTGCTGAGCCCTTTCCCAGGGTTCCTCAGCTAAACCTCAACAATTTAACTAAAGATATGAACCTTAATGCACTGCTTGAACTGGGAGAACTTCTCATTATACTTCAGAAGCCAGTAGAACAACATGGTGATTTCCATTATCCAGGAATGCAACACCCATGCAAAATACATGATAAGCAATGACCCTAAACAAGTTCCTCAGAGAAAGTGCCTAATTTAAAAATATTAGCTATATATATATATATATATATATATATATACACACATACACTGAAATACAGGTACTTGAAGGCCTAGGAAGTCAGATTAGCAATTACAAAAAATGAATTCCTCAGACCACTGGGAAAGCTGCTAACGAAGAAAATCCTGCTCTGGATGAGGTGACTCCAGCCACCATCTATTATCGAAACTCCTCTATTTATTGAAGTGAAGAATCTTCTTTGCTTTTGTTTTCAGTTTAGGATGTGTGAGAATAATGAGAACAGAATGTGCTGGAGGGTAAAAGGTGGAAATAATAATATAAATGGACTTGAGTCTCAAATCACTCGCTACAGAAGGGAGATAATGGAGCAGGGAAGCAACTGAATATGGAACGTAGAGTATGAGGAAACAGATCATCAGCTTCATAGCACCCACATGAGCCTCGGTCTGGGGAGTCCAAAGAGCAGTGGCACTTCTCTGCATCTTCTGGATGTGTCTCCTCAAGGAATTTATTAACAAGGAAGCAGAAGTCACATTAAGGGAGAACTGCAGACATGAGCTCAAGAGCCAAGGGCTCACCAAAAGGAAGATTTCCTCATTGATGTCACAAACGGTGCCATTTCTCCCGGTCACCAATTCCAGAGAGCGTGATGCTTCTCGGAGCACAACATGCAGGAGTGCGGTAAAGGCAGAAATCAGCACACAGGCCAGCAGCAGCCTGGGCATTTTGGGGGAGAGATTTCGTTTCAGCAGGAGAAAAATTGGGTGTTGGTAGTTAGTAATCTTCACACAGTACAAGGCGTTGAGCAAGGTTACAAACCAAAGACTATTAGAGTCCAAAAACAACCAACACAACAGGAAATAAGCGGATGGGGAGACTGACCTTCGAATACTTGAAAAGATGGAGAAAACAGTACTCAGTCCCAGGATGAGAACTCGGGTGATGCCCAAGCTGAACAGGATTCTATCAGAAGAGGAGATCTTGTGGCTTTTGACCCAATTCTTGTAATTGGTCACTGCAATGAACAGATTTGCAATGACTCCAACAGAAGTCACAACTGCTGAGATAATAAGAGAAGAAAAAAAGAACGCCTGACGCATCTTTACACATTGAAGAGGAATACTAAATGTCTAAGTAGGCACCAGTAGCAAGCCAGGAAGGACATTTCCTTTTTTAATTTTCCCCAGTGTGGCAAATGAGCATTAGTGGCTCAAGAGCCAGCTGCTTTTACTGAGATGCAAATCTTCCAAGGATTGCATTACTATTTCTTCACGCATATCCTGTTTTTCTTAGAAATGCCAAATTAAAACAGCCGAGGTGAACCTGGGAGTCTACTTCTCCAAGAGAAGGAGAGATAGAAGGAGGAATTACGGCACGCTCCAAGAACTTCAAGTCCAATGATAAGAGTTCCAGTCCAGCATTTTTTCCTTCACTGTTTCCCCATGAATGCAGCTTTTCTTCATACCTAAGTATATGGTGGGAGTTCCCATGCCTCACTCCTACCCACCCCACCCACACACCCATGGATCACCCGGATCCAACTTCTCTCTCCCCTCCAATCTGTTGATGTTGCAACCATTTCCTCCATCTGTCATGCTGGCCATGCCAATGTTACTCTTTCATCCCTTAGCATCTACTGTGATTTACAGTTACCTAACAGACCAAGTTCAAGAACTCCTGGAGAAAGCCTTTTTCAACTAATGCCATCCTTTCACGATGACTCCTCTACTTTGCATTCTCTCCTAACCATTTACATAGATTTGTGCCATAGTTATTTGCTGTGATCTGCTTCTGCTTGGAAAAGAAATGTCAGCTCATCCACGTTTTTTCTTTTTAGATCTGAGTTTATGCTTAGATCACACTTGGCTATTTTCTCTCAGGCAGTTAACTGGCAATCAAAGTACTCTGGTACTAGATACACAGTAATGCTTTAGTTATAGTTTTGTGTGCCTAATAGACAGGCATATCATTGCCTGATTTCTCTGTAGTTTCTTAGATGGTAAAGGGCACAGTATACCTGGTAAGTTACATTTTCAAAGACCATGAGTGAGTGCAAGAGTGTGGTGCCTCGTAACTCCTCTAACAGTTGAGTGAAGTCAAGGTGCAGGCCTGGATGCAACCACATACAGGCTACAAAACGGCATCCAGGTGACCCACACAAAGTCCTACTACCAAATCCAAACAGGAACAGATAAAAAGAAGGGGGTAAGACAGGAAGATGACCAGGGCCAGAAAAGGAAAGTAAATTCATGAGGCTCGTTAAGACAGATGATAGGAAGACAACCTGGAGGAATTCCCTGATCCAGAGCCTAGTTTTCTGTACAAAACTAATGGGCATCGACAGAGGCATGGCCAGATCAAACAGGCAACACGGAGTGAACAAGCAAGGCAACGATTAAAAGAAAGATTATATCATAGCACATATTTCCACTTAACTATCTATAAAATAGATTACTGAATTAGAGTAATTAACTTGAAACATTACAAATACCACAGTTACATAGAATAAGCAATATGGAGTAAGATATAAGAATTAAATGTTCCCCCAAAGAGGGGAAAAGCCAGTATTGGACAGTAACAGATCCCATTCAGAGTGTGATATACAAGATTGTTGGGTTCTTGGTAGCAGGAGGTACTATAATTCAGATGTGATCATGTTGGCAAGCATGATTAGTGAGTAAGCTGCTTCTGTCTGAAGTTATTTCTGAAAGGGTCATTATGGGAAAAGTGTCAACAAAATCCTTTCTCCCTCTGCATGAGAATCTCACCTTCAGTTAAACATAAGTATCTTATGGAGACCTCCTGCTCCCTCGAATGTGGCAGATAACTCTTATGTGTGTATCCCTTGGTTTAATCCTGGAAGGTGTATCTCTGAAATTATTACAAGAGAAATTGGCTCTTTTGGGACATGAAGCTTTTATTTTAGGGCAGCTCCATCCTTACCCAAATGTGGATCTCCTCTCCTTGCACCTGAACTGTTATAACTGGCAGCAAGGACTCTGCAAAAGAAGGCCTGACACTTCTCTGCTGGTGAACTGGATCCTTAACTATATCCATCTGAGTACACAGAGTGGCCTGAGATAGTCTTATAAGTCTGACTATTTATTGGAGCCCAAGAAGACCCACTGGTGGATGCACTGCAGCCATGAGTCCAAACTCTGCTGCCTGGCAGATAGATCTGTAGGGCAAGTTTTAGGGCAAACAGTCAAAGCAAAAGAATGACTTACTTTATCTGATGAAGGATAAAATCAGTCATGAATAAATGAGAATTAACAAACTTTGAATTGTTTTTTTAAAAGTACCAATGTTGTCTAGGAGGAAGAAAGAAGGAAATTTGGATTTCTTCAGCTTTTCTGAGCACGTATTATGTCCCCAGCAGTGCACTGGGCATCATAAATCTCAGTTAGTCTTTAAAATAGTTCTCGGAGAGAGATCTGGTTATTCTTCCTTACAGATGAGGAAAATGAAGACGAAAGAAGTATGGGACTGCCAGGTATCACAGAAAATCGGTGGCTAAGTTGGGAGGTCTTTCTGAGACTGAGTCTTTCCAGTAACCTAGGCGCCCCTCATCAGTTCATTTATTCTATAATTGTTATCAGCCAGTCACATATATGTTAGGAGCTGGGGAAACAAAGAATCACCCACAGCACACTCTGCCTTCAAAGAGCATACAGAATAGTGGGAGAGACAGACAGTTAGATCATTGTATTGGGTACTATAATAAGGAAAAGCAAAGGGTACAGTAGGAGTGTTCAGGAGGGGCATTTAACCCAGCCTTGGGGCTTCAGGAAAGGCTTTGTCAAGGAGACATATAAATTAACTCCTGAGGATGCAAAGGCGTTGTCCAAGAAAAAGGTCTAGGGTGGGAGGGAGAAGGATATTGGAAACAGTGGGGAGAACTCTATGTGAAGACTCAGAGGTGACAAAAAGTGTGGTAGGTTCAGGAAACAGAAGAATGGAGCGATGCAAGGAGAAGAAGTGGTGAGAAAACTGGAAAGAAATAAGAGACAGATCATGAAGTATCTATGCCAGAATAGGTACAGATTTTGGACATAACCATTACAGTAATTTGATCTAACACTTTAGGAAAACACACAGAGTAAGTCCTTAACTTTATCTGAGAGAGTCAGAGAAAGTTTCCTGGAGGACTCAGGTCTTGAAGGCTATGGGGAGGTAACAAAGCTGATGAGTAAGAAAGGGAATTCTAGGCAAAGAAAGCAGCTTACACAAAAGTGTAGCAGCTAGAAGAGTTTGGCATATTTGGGAACCAAAGTAGAAGGTTCTTTGGAAAAAGTAAGGAGTAGGAAGATGAAACCAGACAGGAAAATAGGGGGTCAAATAACGAATGGCTTCGTGCTGCAAGCTACGGCATCTGAACTTCATGTAGAGCAATCGAGAGTCACTGCAGGACTTTAAGAGAGGAGCACCGTGATTGTATTTTCACTGCATGAAGAACACGATGCAAGTAACATGGAAATGCTCTGCGGGAAGGGGATGAAACTGGAAACAGGAAACTGGTTAGGATTCTGTTACAGTCACTCTGGTGGGTTGAAAAAAGTAGAAATAGAGACTGGGGGACATTTGAAAGAAAATATTTGAGTACAACCAAAGGAATCTAGTGACCCAATGAATATTGAAACTAAAGGAAAAGGAAGAATCTGGGATGATCTCCAAAATTCTAGTGCAAGTGAGAAAAAAAACAAAAACACTTGTCTTTCAGTGAGACAAGAAGCATAGTCTGAAATAGAATTAGATATGCAAGAAATTTTAGGTGGCAGGGAGCAAGAGAAGGTGAATAGAGTATTCAGACAGCACTGTAGGTCTGATATCTATAAAAAGGGAGGGAGAAAGAAAAAGAATTGGGTAGGAAGAATCCTAGAGTACAGCACAGTTCCAAAAAAGCTGATGGAGAGTTCTTGGGCCAAAATTGCCTATTGGAAGAGTACCATGTCCCAGCAGAAGAGGCTTACCTTAATATTCCCCAGTGCTCCAGCACCGGCTGACAGCAGCCTGCAGGAGGCGAGGAGCCCTCAGTAAGTTTCACTCCCCACAGCGGGAAAAGTGAGCAGTGCGTTTTCATGGCTGCCGCAAAAGGGAGCCAGAGACGAAGATCACCTGTGCCGGAACCCTCTGGTGATAAGATGATTCCTTCATCATATCTGAAGCATCTGTTTCAATGATGTAGAGATGAAATAAATACTCATTTCCGTGTCTTTATTGTCCATCAGATGGGATGTTTTAGAGAATAAGAACTGATCTACTACAGTATTTTATGCAGAATGAGTGTTAAAAAAAAATGTCTGTGGTGTGCATGAACGAACTGGAATCAAGATAAGCCAGAATCAAAATGGAGTAAGAAATGTATTTATTCCTGAAACATTACAGGAGCATCTGGCAACTATCCAGAACCCACCCCTTCCGCAAAGAGATCTGCCAGCTGGGCAGCAACGGTACAAACCCGAGCAACCAAGAAAACCTCAGAAATCATCCCGCTCTGGGGCTGTGAGGACGTTATTTGGCAACAGGCAGACAGCCAGCCTAGACAGAATACTTCAAGAAACTCCACTCACAAACTTCTGAAAATATATTTTCCAGGGTTAACCTGGAAGTGTTCTGGTCATCTGGCCAGCTCCACCAAATTACAGTGACAATTTAATTGTAGTGTGGTCAACAAATTTACTCACTCTGTAAACTCAGATGTGTGGAGAAAAAAAATTATGTTCTTAATTTTATCTACAAGTAAGACAGATTTTCTCCTGAGCCTCCGCCTGTGGTCGGGGGAAGTGTTTAATCCAACGGGATAATGCAAAGAGTATCTTCAGAAAAATGTTCAGTTTCTGTAGATGGAAAAATAAAAACATCTGCGACATCCCCCGCCAGCCATGCTTCTCCCCTTTAATTAGGGTCCAGGTGGGCACTGGGAAGGGCTGAGATGAACTGTACCCCACGACGGCAGAGAAGTGTCACGTCCTCTCCCTCAGTGTCCTTGTCTCCCTGGGCTTCCAGGAAGAGGTCCTTGTCCCTTGGTTGCTGCCCGCCCTGCCTGCCTATGCTTTGCTCCCATGGACCTCAAACAGGGAGCTTTCAACCAGTCCTCAGAAAGGAGGAAGACCAAGACTCTCGCCTTCCCTGCTTGCAGTCCCTTTCCTTTCTGCCCTTCTCCTCCCCACCACCCCCTGGGGGCTGGGGAGAGT